TTAAGGGACACTTTATCACATGTGGTAGACTTGTAAGAAAGTAAAAAACATCGGAAACAAATACAAATATTAATACAAAAGACTTAAAAGACTAACATACAATTGAAACCAGAGATCCTCTTGTTGGACTAGTGGACAATTGGATGGACAGAAACCATGAAACTTTTATTGGGACATGACTACAGCACCAAAAATACTATATGCACAAAAATAGAAGTGTCCTACAATATGTACATTCGAAGAATGGATGGAGAAGATGCTGGACCTTGCAGCAATAGCTAAATTTATTGCATTGGCTAAGGAAAAGACAATTAATTCGTTTATTACAGATTGGAAACCCCTTATAAAGCTAATCATCCAGATAAGGGAAAATATGGCAATCCTGTAAAGGCAAATAGGCCACTACTGGGGCTAAACATTTAGAAAATACCCTGGGTGCCATGGCTAGCCCAAAGGGTAGGACACTGTACTGAAACACTCACCTCCCACATGAGAAGCGTTAGCAACTTGGGAGTATCCCTGATAGATTTTATCAACCAGAAACGTTCTGGAGAAGAAGCCTTCCTATGCCGGCAGTTCTAACACCTCCTCAATAGCACCCTTCTCAATCAGTGAACCTAGTGCTTGTGCCAGATCAGGAGCTGTCTGGTTCGATACTTCCAGCTGGGGAGAACAAGGGGAAATTGCCTTAAATTCTAGCCTGTAACCTAAACAAACTATAGCTAAGACCCACTCGTCAGAGGTGGTGGCTTCCCAGGCAGCATTAAACTGCACCAGCCTGTCACCAAAATTAACAGGCACGGGGACCCGTTCTAGTCAAAAAGGTTTTTGTGACTGGGTTGCTTCTCTTGGAGGAGGAGGTTGGTTTGTGGACCTAGATTGACTGGAAACTTTGTGTTTGTAGTAGCCTTGCCAGGGTTTAGGAGAAGGATACTGGGGCCCGGGGTTAGCATATCTGCAATCTCTTTGATTGTCAAGCAAAGGGCCTTTGCTTTTATTGGGACATGACACATTGAGACACCCCTAAAGATTTTGCCGTTTGCTTATTTTTCTTTATAAGTGACAGTGTCTCATCTATCTTGACTGAAAACAGTGTTGAACCCCTGAAAGGTAAGTCCTCTATTTTCTGTTTTGCCTCTGCTGCTAATGCTGTAGACCTCAACTAGATGTGCTGTCTGAGGGCTACGGAACTCGCCATGGCCTGAGCTGCAGAATCCGCCGAATGCTGGACAGCATTAATTCGTTGTTTTGAAAGCTTGACAGCCTGTCTGTAACACCTTAGCGAGGGGCTATTTATCTTCAGAGAGGAGCTCCAGGAAGGGCAACATTCCCTCCCAGAGAAAGAGTTGGTATTCTGCCATGATGGTTTCATAACTGGCAATCTTAAACCCCAAGGTGGAGGAGGAGTATAGCTTTCTTCTCGCAAGATGTCCAGCTTGCGTCCCTCCCTGTCAGTGGGAGCAGAATGATAGATTTGGCATCCTTTAGACTGCATCTCTTCTGCCACTAATGATGATGATGGAGCATTGTAAGATCATTACAAAGCCCCTTCTTAATTCAATAGAAGTGTTTGAACCTTCTGGAAGTAGGTTGGAATGAAGTTGGGGTTCTTTTTGCCAAACTTCCTGTGTGAGATCTTCCAGGCCCTCTAAGATTGGGGAAGCAATAATGCCTGGGGAGTCGTGGAGTATAAATGACTCCGGATTTTGTCCTTCATCTTCTGTTCCGATGTCATGGTTTCAGTCTCTAAGGGCTGTGCCATCCAAATAATTTGTTCCCCATATATGTGGAGGTCCTACATTGAGGAAGTCGAGTCTCCAATCCTCTCGTCAGGGCTTGGATCCAATGCAGATCCTTCAGAATTGGCAGCTGTCTCATCTCTCCTGTTAGGTATGGGAGAGGAAGGCCTGCAGCTGAAGGTGGGTATAAATTAGCCTGATGCGGATGGGCATATAAACTAGGATCCCTGGGCTGATTAAAATTGTCTCTCTACTCTCTAAATATCCTGGGGACATCATATACTGGTTGGAAGGTCACTGCATAGGCTGAAAGAACAGACCCAACTGCTCAGGAACAATCTCATAGGGGATCTGCCCTGCTGGTAGATAAGTCTCTGTTTCTCCATCTGATATTGAGACCGGAGGTGACCTCAGATTCAGAGAAGGCGTCCTAGGTCTAGTTGGTTCTGGGGTTTGGAACGGGACATGTTGAGATGCCGACTTATGCTTTTCTTTTTCCTTGGAACTGGTCGTAGCCTTTTTGACTGGAGGCTCTGATGAAGTGTACTGTGTCTGCGGACAGCATTAACCTGATTAACCATGGATCTGGGGGTGGGGGGTGAGTGGAGCCAACTGTGTCAATTCTGAAGATGCGGTAACCAATGCTTTTTCTGGGGCTTATTTGGAATCAGGATGTGAGGCTTTCAGTGCCTTCTCTCACAACGCTGCCTTTAACTTTGAAGCCCTATCCCCTCCAGCTTTGGGGGTGAAGCGCTGGCAAGCTTTTCATGTGGGGATGGTTATGTCCTTCACCCAGGCAGAACAGGCATAAGTTGTGTTCATCCATCTGGGTCATCTTCGCTCCACAATGGGTACACTTTTTAAAGAGTGCTTTCTGAGCCACAATGAGAGCCCAGAAGCAAAGAAATCTAAACATGAGAGAAGCCAATGTTGGATCAGGCCAATGGCCCATCTAGTCCAACACTCTGTCACACAGTGGCCAAAAATACCAGGTGCCATCAGGAAGTCCATCAGTGGGGCCAGGACACTAGAAGCCCTCCCACTGCTGCCCCCCCAAGCACCAAAAAGACAGAGCATCACTTGCCCCAGAGCCCCTATCTATACCTTGTGGCTAATAACCACTGATGGACTTCTGCTCCATATGTTTATCCAATTCCCTCTGGAAGCCGTCCATGCTTGTAGCCGCCACCACCTCCTGTGGCAGTGAATTCCATGTGTTAATCACTCTTTGGGTGAAGAAGTAGTTCCTTCCTGTCTGTATGATCAGACAGAATGCAGTTTTTTGAAGTTTATTAGGACCAGGGACACATTGGCCTGGGTAGCCCAGGCTAGCTCTACCTTGTCAGATCTTGGAAGCTACGCAGGGTTGACCCTGGTCAGTATTTGGATGGGAAACCACCAAGAAATACCACAGTTGCTGCGCCGGGGCAAGCAATGGCAGACCACCTCTGAATATCTCTTGCTCTGAAAACCCTACGGGGTGCCATAAGTCAACTCTGACTTGACAGCACTTTCCACCACCACGTATCAGTCCCAGGGACACTAAAAGAACCAGTGTGGGTATAGTGCAGGACTAGGATCTGGGAGATCCACGTCCAGATCTCCAATCTGCTTGGGAAAGCGCCCTGGGTGACCTTGGGCCAATCACATACTCAAAGCCTGACCTACCTAACAGGGTTGTTGGGAGAGTAAAGGAGAGAACAAGGTAAGCTGCTTTGGGTCCCCCTTGGGGAGGAAGCAAATGAAGTAAAGAAATAAAACAACTCCACCAGTTCTGTCAGTGAGAGCCACAGAAGTTGAAATATGTTCAGGAAACGAATACATCATTTTTTAAAGACTGAACAATGGCATACACAACATCCTCTTATCGTATATGATCAGATCCTGCTTTCAAATGCTATTTAAACAGACCATGTGCACAGCGAGCGTCGTATCAAAATATATTTTATTCTGGACCTCTTTCAGATCTGATTCAAATTACACTTGTCAGAGCGATACAATGCAAAGGGAAAAATTGCAACAGAAAATGTGCCTAGAAAGGGATTAAGAAAGGGATTGGAGGACAAAATCATTGTGATGTGGAACCAAAGTACATCATAAAAGGTGTGATCAACAGGGGTCCAGGACAGTATAGAACATCTATATCAGTCTTCTTTAGACAATAAAATCATGGAAACTGAACAATAAAAAGTTTTTTTTTTCCTGAACAAGTAAAAAAAGAAAAAAAAGAAAACTTTTAATGAGCTGGTTTTACATTTTACAACATTTGTTATTTAACTGGATAGGTAACTGAAGAAATGATGTAGACATTTTAAATCCAGTGCTATAAAGTAGGCTCACAGAATTAGACCCAAAAGATTTGCAACTCCAAAATAAATTGGAACCTGTTTTACAACTACAATGTCAAAGTCAGGAGAAAGAGAGAGAGAGAGAGAAGAGAGAGAGAGAGAGATTACTTTTTGGATTATAGGTGACCAACTTGCTCGCTGTGGCCTGTCGAGAAATAAGGACTGCAAAATGACACGGGAGAAGCAACAGCGAAGCAGACCGATTTCCAGAATTTATTCACAAAGGCAACAAAAAAGAGGGGGGGGGGAGAGTAGTAAAAAGCATTAAAAATCTAGAAATTAAAAAAAACGCTTTTGTTATCCTCAACACTGGGAACTGATTCAGTCTCTGTCACTATGTTGACTCAACCACTTCTGCACCACTGAGACCTGAAATTGTCAAGGATCTATGCATTCCTCAGTTCTGCAATTAAACAAAGCCAGTTCATATAGGACACACACTGGAAACTTGAACTGGAGAAGCAAAAGGAACTGCAGGAACTTCATGTCTTCTTCCTGACTACAGGATGGGTCAAGGCTCTTGACGGCAAATCTGTGTTTCTGTCCTCTAAAAACAGGGGCCTGTCCACAGTGGCTTCAACGCAGCTCACAAGTACAAAGTCTGAAGTGCAAACAAAAACCTCTAACAAGGTCCCCTTTTGCAGGCTTATTGCACAACTGTGCCCAGTGATGGCATCACACGTAACAGTTGCTGTCAGCTGCAGTAGGGCTTGGGGAAACAAGACAGAATCCCACATGGGATGAAATCCAGGTTTTATATAGATTGTAGGGGGTGTTCATGTACAAATGTGTCCCCTTTAAAAAAGCTCCTAACATCTGTGTCCATGTGCCACAATGCTGCCCCCTTCTGGAGAAGTATA